CTTTCGCTGTTTGCCTGTCATTTCTTCCCGTCGTCCGTGTATTGCATAGGAAGATTTGTAGAGTGGCAAGGCAAGGCCCCGTTCATCTGCCCGCTGTGTTCTGGTGCTTCTTTCTGCTGGCGCGTGGACGTCGGGTTCTTCTTCAGCCTTTGAATAAATTGGATACGGTCGGGAAAGGGAGTTTTCTGTTGGCTGGGAGTTGGTTCTTTGTATTTTTATCAAGTTACTCTTCGTTTCTCCTTCTATTCTCGATGAGAATTGTAATTCCTTTCGGTATTACTTATTCTGAATGGATGTCTTGCGTTATATGCAAGTTGAATTCAATTTTAATGACAGGGTCAGGTGTGGTCCCGACAGCATATGAATGCATGAGCAGATTGAAGTCCTTTTGAAACCATATTAAGTGCCCAGGTTTGTAGCATCACTTAAAATTTTGAGAATCATGTACCTTCCAAGTTAGCCATGTGCTGAAGTAGGATGAGCAGATGTTGTACCGGCTGGCTGCTGTTAGATCTGCGTGTGGCTTAATCACTTGAGAGTATTTTATTTTAGTTTTTCGCGCACATTTCCTTTGGCTATCATTGATCGTTCTCAGTCAGTGAGAGGTTGTGTTTGCCGCTGTTCTTTCACAGAGGACTGACTGCAGATGGAGCTTTCTTGTTGCGTAATATTTGGGCAGGGTGAAAAATCTCTTTTTGAAGATAGAGGCCAGATAAAAAATATGCTGCGATGTGTTAATTTTGTTTGAAAATTCTAAAAGGTGTAAAGATGATGTTGGAATTCAGTTTATCCTACTTGTTTCAGGAGACCCACAGTTGGTTTCCAGCATTTTTCCCTTTTTACGGTACAAAGAAATTACATTGGGGACCTGTGAGCGTGGCCATTGGTGTGAGCTCCTGTGTGAGTGTTTTAAGGGCGTTTTATTGCCTAGATCCTCTTCTCTTGTGCCTACTACTGTTGGGATCATCTAAAATGTCAGGATATTGAACCTTGCAGAGAAATCCAACTCCCCTTCCGGGTAAACGTACATGGGCTGATGGTGGTGAATGTGAAAGATGTTTTATGTGGGGTTTGATTACAGGTTCTTGTAGATTATGAGGGTCAGAGAATACGGTTGAATTGAGCAGAGCTGGAGACAAGAGTCCTGTGGGCTGAGTGTGGAGGTCTGGTGAAACAGGAGAGACACTGTTTGCTCTTTTCCTTGCTCAGTGTTCAGCCCTTCTTCTGTGCAATGTGATTTTCTTCTGCCATGATAACTTTGTCCCAACAGATCTTAGTTCAGCTGTGTGGGGAGCCCTGGGATCTTCCTCCTGTGTGTTTGCAGGTTGTCCTGGTGTTTTAATGAATGGTTTAGTTAGGTTCTTATGGCCTGTGGATAAGGGAATATTGGGTGGAGCCAACTCTGTATTCATCGCCTGCTAAGTACCTGAACTCTGTGCCTAACCTTAGTGCCATCATCATCATCAAGAGCCTGTGCTGATCCCCTTCCTTTCTGCAGATGTGAACCTCTTGCCTCTCTCCTGCTCATAGCAGTGGGGTTTTAAGCGTTACTGGAAGAAATTCTCATGCTTGCCACATACTCAGGTTGAGAAGTGAAATATTTTCCAGGGTAATGGGAAGCTGTGTGAGGAACTTTTCTTTTGGTGGCCTCTCCACCAAAGAAAGGGATTGAGGAGAGACTTGTTTGTGAGAAGGGAATGTTAGATACAAGGCTTCTGGGTTTTTTTTTATTGATACCTGTCTTTAGTCATAACCTTCTGAAAATTGTCTAAAAGTGTCTTCATGTTTTGATATCCAATCATTTGGAATTAAAGAGCCAGTTTGTGTGTTCAGCATTTCGGTTTTCTGATTCATGATGTTTTCTGTGAATATTTTGGGTTCAGATGGAAACTTTGCATTGAGTNATGGCCTGTGGATAAGGGAATATTGGGTGGAGCCAACTCTGTATTCATCGCCTGCTAAGTACCTGAACTCTGTGCCTAACCTTAGTGCCATCATCATCATCAAGAGCCTGTGCTGATCCCCTTCCTTTCTGCAGATGTGAACCTCTTGCCTCTCTCCTGCTCATAGCAGTGGGGTTTTAAGCGTTACTGGAAGAAATTCTCATGCTTGCCACATACTCAGGTTGAGAAGTGAAATATTTTCCAGGGTAATGGGAAGCTGTGTGAGGAACTTTTCTTTTGGTGGCCTCTCCACCAAAGAAAGGGATTGAGGAGAGACTTGTTTGTGAGAAGGGAATGTTAGATACAAGGCTTCTGGGTTTTTTTTTATTGATACCTGTCTTTAGTCATAACCTTCTGAAAATTGTCTAAAAGTGTCTTCATGTTTTGATATCCAATCATTTGGAATTAAAGAGCCAGTTTGTGTGTTCAGCATTTCGGTTTTCTGATTCATGATGTTTTCTGTGAATATTTTGGGTTCAGATGGAAACTTTGCATTGAGTAGGAGAGTGACACGCTGTCTATAGAATCCTTGTGCTGGAGAAAGATAATGCTAATTTTGGGTGATGCTTCGATGACAGGATCACAAATTGAGTTACTGATGTCTTTAGCTTTTACTGCATTTCAGAATAATTGAAATCATTGTGATGAGGAGAAAAATTACTGTGTACGCATTAGTTTTGTTTTGCACGGGATCTGAGAAGTTGTGAGAGCAACTTTTAATCGTGTCTGTCTCCAGAATTTGCTTTTGTTTTGCCTGATAGCAGAGAGAAATCTTTCCAGCAACAGGGACAGTTTAAGATTTTCCTGTGGCAGAGTTCAAAATGCTCAAAAGAAATGTATAAAGTTCCAATTGTCCTGGTGGTTAGATGAGGCCCTCACCTGTGTTTCCAAGGAATTTCATTTTTTCATCGTCCAAGGGAATGACTGTGGCTGGGGTGTGTGGTTTGATGTCCGGGGTACTCGGTGCAAGACAGTTTCCTATGTTGTGTAGCTACTACAAGTGACAAAATAAGAAACATGAATTTCTACATTGTGGTGGTTTCAGGAGCGTTGTCTAAATACCCAGACCAAGTTGGGTGTGTCTGAAGGCTTTGAATGCAGTTCGAGTAGGTGGAGTGACTGCCTTTGATCCAGGAAATTGGTGTGCCAAAGGGGTTTTGTTTGGAAAATAGTTAGATTTCTTCTCTGGGGCCAAGGCCTGTGCCAGTTTTTCTCAGTGATCTCTTTGCAGGAAGTAAATGACAGTCATCCAGAAACACTGAACCGTGTTACTGGGATAGAAAGATTTATAATTCTGATGTGAAACATCTTTATTTGATTCTATGACAGACAAAGAATTGGCTTTGCAGTTTTTCATTGTAAGGTTCTCAAGTATGTGAGCACAAAAGAGGAATTTCATTATTCATAGATAAATAATATTAATAATTCATAGCATAGAGCTCTAAACATTGCTTTAGGCCGATCTCTTTCCAGGCTAATTTGTGCCATGTAAGGGAAGCAGAATTCAGGATGTGTGACGGAGAGTTGAAGGGCTCCAAAAGTCATCTCTTTCTAAAATATTATAGTGCACTGGCCCTTAGAGTTGTACCACGGTTTTCTTAAATAACAGTTGTGTTCCTTTCCTTATTGCTAGGCAACACATTCAAAAGTCTTAGGATTGAGTGGGACTAAAGGAGATGAACGGAATGCACCCAAAAGTGCATCTCACTTAATAACGATTCTGGAGTCGCATTAAATATCTCCTTCTGCTCTTGTTGATTGCAATGGAGGAGCCCCCGGATCCGGAGCAGGCGCTGAGCCCCGCCCAAAGCCGGGCCCCCTTGAGCGCGGCCATCCGGCGGCTGCAGTGGCGCGGCGGCGCCTC